AGATCCTATCACCTCGCCTAGCTGCCCTTCGACTCCGTCCTCTGATCAGAAAACCGTCACTATCATCAACTGCTATTCTCCAACATCAGCAGCTGATGATTCGGAACCTGATGCTTTCTATGAGGATTTGGAGGAAGTCATCCGCAAAAATAAAACTCCTTCTGTAAGTTCGTCGTGGGTAACTTTAATGCAAAAATCGGGAGACCAGAAGAAGGGGAGGATAGGATGGCAGATTCGGATTAAGACTTCGGAATGGAAATGGTAACCTTCTTCCTGGGCTCTTATCCGCCGAAAGAACAACGACGGTGGATATGGAAATCGCCCACCGGTGCAACTCATGCGGGGATCGACCACATTCTTACCAACTGATGGTGTTGCTTACTGGACATCTCAGTGGTACCATTCAGCAGTGGTTCAGAATACATCTCATTCGAGCAAAAGTGCTATCTAACCGAAAGCTGGAAAAGAAGACCTGCCACATTGGAGGAAGGAAAGAAGTCCTACATGACGGCGTCAGGTCACAGAAGCTCCTGACCACTTGTGACGGGTCCATTAAGGAAGACCCAACGATGGACTACGGCATGCTTTTCAGAGAGCTGAGCGCCTGTGCTAAAAGTGCCTCATTGTCGCGAATAAGAAACTTGGAACGAATTTCGAAAGCCACCAAAGATCTGTTAAGGAGGAGGAGAGCACTGAGGCTGGATCCGACTGCATCACATCTCAAGTGACTGGTAGCCAATATCAGTTGTAGAACAGCTTTGCAAGAAAATCTTGAAAATCAAATGCAAGAAAAGTATATTCAATCAAGACTTTTGGAGGCAGCACAAGGAAGGAGAAGTTTAAAGAAGAACCGCAGGGATCTTCTCGACTGGAATGGATCACGAAGAGTTCCTACACCACTCTATTCTACTCGTCGACACCTGTATCAAACTCTGTTAATCCCATTAAAGAAATACCACCACGGATTCTACCTGCTAAAGTACGCGACGCAATACAGACCATGAATGCAACTGCGATTCCGGGACCGGATCACGTTTCGGCCGACCTCTTACGAGGTGGAGGACGTCGCCTACACGAGATACTTGCGGAACATCCAACGTCTTATCTTCAAAGGAAAGGATTCCCGACCAATAAAGAACCACTCAAACAAACCTTCTTTATGAGAAGGGCCCTGAGGAGAATTTTCGAAACTACCTTCTAATATGCCTGCTGAGCGTGCTTACAAGCTCTTCACAAAGATTATTCTTGAGCGTATTAACAACACTGGATGAAGCCCAACCTTTAGAGCAAGCTGGATTTCGAAAGATTCAGCTGCGCAGATCGCGTCCAGACAGGTTTGAGAAATATTGAGTTTGCCAAGAGTACAGCCTACGTCTTGTGCTAACCTTCGTTGACTATGAAAAGTGTTTGACAGCGTCGAGACTAATGCCATACTGTCAGCGGTCGTCGTACGAATTGATTAGAAATTCTTCTCGAATCTTTGTTTTGTGGATGACATTGCTCTCTTTTCGAAGAACATCATTGAAGCGGAGATAATGTTGGAAGAAGTGAACGATGTAGTGAAGTGAAGTAAGCAGATAGGACTGCGAATCAAGTCGATGAAAGTGGTGGTATATCATTGGCGACCGAAATCTCCCACCTATGCTACATTTTTTATGGAAGGAGTAAGCAACAGTTCATGAAGAACGCTTTCTGCGAGGACCAGGAAATAGAATGAAAAGGCTCTCCAATCGCGGAAACATCTTCTTACGTATATCTCGGGCGTTCTATGAACATGCAGAACGATTTGAAAGAAGAACTAAACACGGGGCGAAGAGCAGCTTGCGCCGTTTTTGGGCCCTTAAAGGGAGCCACAGACCAGCTGACAGGCCCAGATCTCCGAGCCCACCTGTTTGATTCAACTGTTCTCCCTGCGCTCTGCTACGCAGAAGAGACGTGGCTTAAGACTGTGACGACGGCAAAGGCTCTTCAAACAACAAAATATCTCGTTTTTGCGATCTACTGGAACTTCTCTAAAGCAGATGGGCTGGTCATATAACGAGAAAAACAGACGACAGATGGACACTAAAAATACTGGAAGGGATTAATTCTCAGCATGTAACAATTAATGGATCTGGATCTTACAAACGTCGTCGCCGCTGTTCAATACCAACATCGTGAGTGATGCTAGCGAGAGACAGAAAAGGATGCGAAGAATGCTGGAGCCTGCACGACCAATAAAG